CTAGCCCTCCCCTCCACCATCTCGCTTTGCACGCATCAGCCCATCTGTGGTGGTTCACTCCATCAACCAGGAGCTGCCCTGATGAGCAGGCCTGACAAAATGTCAGCCTTTTGTGAAGCTTATGTTTAGTGTGGATGAGAGAAGTCAGTAAGTACAAGGTACTCTGGAAGCTCATTTTACAATATTCTACTCTATTTTGGGATTTGGAAAGTGATGAAAAGAAAGCCTCCCCAAAGAAATGCCATTTACAGAGGTACCTCACGAACCATTGAGTGTCAGCCAGGCAGAGAGAGGGCAACAGACCGTCCAGGTAGAAGGCCAAAGGCTCAGCCTGTCTGCAGGGTCACAGATTTCTAAACCAGTTGCTTTTCTCTCCTTGGAAATACCCGATGCTAAGTTGGGTGCTGGAGAGAATCTTAATTAACAGATTTAGTTAAGCTAATTTAGATAAGTTGCAAGGAAGAGCATTTATTTTGGAAACAAAAAAGTCTTCATGTAGAGGTGAACTCTGGTGAAGATGAATAAACAGCTCTCAGAATGGAGTGGAACCATGGTGACACTGGCCCCATGCAAGAGAAGGATTGGGTTGGAGGCAGACCTCAGGAGCACCAGGGCAGCCCTCATCTGTTCACCTGACTCCACAGCCCTCTGCATAAGTGGTGTGCTGTTCTCTTGTCTGCTTGTGACTCCTAAGTCCTTTTCATGCTACTATGCTCGTCATGGATACTACCCATGTCCATGAACAAATCTATTTGGACAATCTGACGATGACCATCATCTGTATTTGAACCATCCTTAGATCAGCTGCAATCAGCGTTTGGGGAACAATCAATTCTGCCTCAGGGAACACTGTGGTCCCTCCTCCAGCAGGGACAGTGGCTAGAGTAGGTTTAGCCAGATGGGATGTTGGAAAGAGCAGACATTCTAATTGTGCCCGATTTTTGCTCTTAAGTAATTTGTAGCATCATTGAAATTCAGGTGATCTCATGCGTGGAATAGTGCTGCCAATTTTAAATGCCAAACAGGCATTTAAACAGGAGTCCCCAGGAAATGAAAATAGAGTGAGGAGAGCATAGAATTTTAAGACTGAATCCTGCCAGTCACTAAACCTCAGTGCTCTTGGCTGAAAAAGGAATGGATTTGTAAACACCTAACTCATAGGATCATTGTATAGGTCAAATAAAGTCATGTGGGAGGACGTTGTAAACAACAAACATGCAGAGATTTTTTTATTATTGCCAACATTATTATTATGACACATGTATACAAAATCGTAAGGAGTTATTCAAGATTCAAAACAAGTGTGTCAAGTATTAGTTCCAGAAATTATTTAAACCAGTGGCAGTGCATGCCGAATTACACAGACGGCTTGACAGGCCTGAGTAAGACCCATGCTCACATCAGGACTCACACCAAGGAGAGGAAGAGTTAGGGACAAGAATGCAGGCTGCCTGGAGAATCAGGCAGGTGAGTCTGCCTCTTGGGGTGAGCATTGAGGTCTTGGAATCCACGTGTTGAGATTGGAGGGTGCTCTGAAGAAGGGAAAGGAGAGAAGACCCTTTTGTATTTTAGGTTAGATTTCTTCCGTGGCAGATTGGAGAACCCTTGGGGAAAGAATTCTAGACCATGCCTGTTTTGAAGGAGATAAAAATTTACATATTTATGCCTTGGCTGGTATAGCTCAGTGGATTGAGCATGGGCTGTGAACCAAAGGGATGCAGGTTTGATTCCCAGTCAGGGCACATGTCTGGGTTGCGGACAAGGTTCCCAGCAAAGGGCAGGTGGGAGGCAACCCTACATTGATGTTTCCCTCTCTCCTTCCCTTCCCTATCTCTAAAACTAAATAAATAAAATCTTTTTAAAGTTTACATATTTACATTTTATTCACCTTCTGGGCCAGTTGAGGCTTTTGCTTCACTCTGTGTCATTACTCTGTGCCGGCTTTGCCTCCGGATTAATAATGTAGGTATTCCCTGGCCTGGTTCCAACACCTGCCATTGTCTGGTCCTCTGGCCCACACTGACATTGTATTAATGAAAGAATAGATCTTTACATATGCATTAGTTCAGTAACAAGTTGCCCTGAATTGTCCCCAAATTTAGCAGCTTAACACTTGGGAACATTGATGAGCTCAGTTTCTGTGGTGGGGAATCAGGTGAGGTTTGGCTGGGTCCTGAAGCTCAGGATCCTTCCCAGGACTAAAATCACATCAAGGCTTAGCTGGGTAAGGGTTGCTTCCAGGTGCACTCATGTTGCTGTGGGACAGAGGCCACCATTCCTCACTGGCTGTTGGCCAGAGGCTGGCCTCAGTTCCTTGCCTCCTGGGTTTCCTATAAGGAAGTCAACAGAGCAGTCAAACAATATAGGAGTCAGAGGGAACAAGACGGAATCATGGGGTTTTGTAACTTAGTCTCAAAAGTGGCATTCCATCACTACAGTTACATTCTCATTCATAAGAAGCAATTAGCTGGATCCAGCCCATTGTTGTATGGAGAGGATTACACAGGGGTGTGAACACTAGGAAGGTGGGGATTGATTGTTTTGGTAGCTACCTACCACATTTACAAAGTAATATATGGTTCAAGTAAATGCTAGCTCCTGTAACAAAAGGGAAATGCTGAAATGTCAGAGAATTAATAGAACATTTTTTCTCATTTATTATGAGGTCCACGAAAGTAAGTGAGTGGGGTACTCTGCCCTAATCAGTTATCCCTGTTGAAGGAGTCATTGCCATCTTCAAAAAGGTGCCTTCCAGGTTATCTAGGCTGGCAATGTTCCAGACAGCAATCAGAGAAACCAGTGTCCAGGGTCCCATTGGAGATTTTTATGGATATGTGTTTTCTTTCTCTTTGTACTTCAGTGGCCAGAATCCAGTCATATGACCCCATCTGGATGCAAGGGGGCCTGGGTACTGCACACTGCTTGGGCAGCTACCTCCCAGCCACAGCTCCCCATGGTGGAAGCTGGCCTGGTCTGCCACAGATACTTTTCCATTTACAAAATGCATTCACATGTGTTATTTCCTTTGCTTCTCACCACAGCCTATGCTACTATCATCATTCTCACCTTCTCTTTACAAGAGAACAGACAGGAATATCTTTAGAACAATTAGGATTATGTAATTAGAGTACGATCCCTATCTCTGGTAACACTATAACCTGTATGACCACAGAAAGGTTCTTTAACCTTTCTGTGCCTCAGTAATATCATCTTGTAACAGGGGCAGTAGGCCCTTTTCAGAGTCATTGGAAAGACTGAATGTAAGTCACTTAGCATTATATAGGGCATATGTAAGTGTTTCACGAATAGTTGTTATAAGGAAGATGGTCATAATGTTATACCTGGAGATAAAGAAGTTGAGGCTCAAAGCAGTGAAATGATTTACTCAAAACTACAAACTAATGCACAACTAAATGTCCAGGATGAGAGGCTGGACATTTCAGTAACAACTTTCCTGCCTTTTGAGTTATTGCTTTGCAGAGACCACTTTCATCAGATTCCTGTGTCAAGCAGTAGCGAGTGAGCATTGAGCCAAAACCCAGTGCTAAGTGTCCCCTTCACCACTGCTTTGGTGGACTCAGGACCCCTGCAGAATCAACACAACGTCACCCTTTCACTCCACCGCACCTTTTTAACTCACCTTTACCTTTTGTATGAAACATGCTGACCTTGTGCCTCCTTTATTCTTGCATTCTTATGTCCTCCAAGGTCTAGATTTCAAAGTCTTTGCTTATAAACAGGCTGTGTGTTACTAACTAGGTAAAAGTACAGGAAATGGTGATATTTTATTAGACTCTCAAATTTTATTACATATTTTAGGGGCTTGGTCACTGAAAGAACAGAAAAACATTTCGCCTGTTAAGTCGTCATTCCCAGAAGCAAGCCTTTGAGTGGAATAGCTTGACCAGCAAATCCTCCAGATCCACCAGGAATGGCTAAGAGATGCCATCAGAGACTGCAATGCTCCTTTTTAGGGCCTCTGCCCTTTTTTATATAGAATGAGGAAGAAGCAGGAATGGGCATGTTGAGGACTGTCATAGTCTCCAAAGCAGTGGATTCATGGCCATAGGTGGGCAGATTGTCTGAACCTCGATCTCAGGTCAGGCCATGACTCAGACCCTTTATATTAAGACATCAGGACATGACTTCTTGAATGGACCAAAACTACATCACATCTACTTGACTGTGGATTTTCAGTAACTTCAGCTTTAATCAGTAAAAAATGTCCCTTACTCTCTCAGAAGTCATATCTTTCATCTTCTTTTCTAGTTGGACCACTGCTTGATATAAATCTCATTACATAGTATTTCTTGTCAGGACATTGATTAGAAGGTACATTTCATTGCTTTGCTGGTGAAAAAGCACAGAATGAATAGCCTCATACAACCCAACACCCTGATTTACCATTCTCTCGCTCACTTTTTACAAAAAGCTTTTTCTTTACTTTCCATATTCAGATGATTCAGTCAAGGGATAAATCCATTTCAGAAGATTTTCCTTTTTAAAATTTGTTAACAAGTTTTGTTAATCTTTCTTTTTTCCACAGTCTTATAAGCACCTCATTATTTTCATGTTTTAAATGCCAGAGAAAATATAGGCAATATCTTTATAATGCCACACATTTAAATGTAAAGAGAGGGAAAATAGCCCTGGCTAGTATGGTTCATTTGGTTGGGCATTGTTCTGCAAACCAAAAGGTCTCGGGTTCAATTCCTGGTCAGGGAATATGCCTAGGTTGCAGGTTCAGTCCCCACTCAGGGTATGTGCTAGAAGCAACCTCCCAACCTCCCTTGTCTTCTCTCTAAAAAACAAAAGGAAAAAATAAATTTGTCATCTGGATTTATTTAAATAGCCATATATGCATCATAAAAAGCTGAAGCTGAGTTGTAAATGAATTATATTAGTGAGACCCAGGCATCCCATGATTTCAGTTTTTATGAAACTTCTTAGGGCATCACCTGCAGTTTCACACCAATGACTGTCCATCACCCCTCTTCTAGGAACCAACGTCCATGAGGCCCAGAACATACTCAATAACAGTGGGCTCCCCATTACTTCAGCTGTCGACCTGGAGGATGCAGCCAAGAAGGCTGTGGCCAGTGTGACTAAGAAGTGATGTATTGTCCCTTGGAGGAAGAAGTCCGTTTTGCCATAAAAATGGATGGCTCTCTCTTCACTGTGAAGGAAATGGTTATCACATTGGGGAAAAATATGGGATGGGAAGGAGCAAGAATTATTGTATGAAAAATCTTAAATCTGTGTCATCTTGACTCAAAAATCTAGACAGCCTGAAAAATTTGATTTTACTTACCATCTATTAAATCAGTGCCCTGTGTTTTTCTACTTTTCTGTCACCCTGAACCTGCTCAGTAGGCATTGTGTTGCTGACTTTGGAGAGCAGTCTGTGGCCAACAGGCCTATATTCATTGACAGCAATTTTAGTGAACATTTACTCCTTTTTAATAAAAAGATCTCAGGCCATCAAAACCTCAGACAAGACTACATTTAGCAGATTAGGTATTGGAAAGGTGCAGTTAAGACATGCAAACAAATAGGTGTTATACACCGTCACACTTTTTCCAAGTTTCTGATTTTAGCACATGTTTGAAAAATCCATGGATATTCCAAAGTATATTTTACAACGGGAAGTCCACACTTCCACATGACATTCCATACCTGGATTCTACCACTTGCCTTAATATTGAATATACTCCTTACCTCACATGAAAAATAAGGCCAGAAGCCTCATTTGGATTTTCAAGTAGATGATTTTATTTTAATATGAAAACTGAAGAGAGCTGATTCTTATGGAAATCTCTTTAATTAAGACATTCCAAGATGAAATTACTTTGTGAGTGTCAGTATTTCATCTCCCCCTGTCCTTCTGAGCCCCTGCAGACTCTATCAGCTGGAGAAGTGTAATTAAGAGAATATGGCTTTTTTCATAATGTCCATTTGTGGGGAGGAGGGTAATTAGATTTATGATGATATTTTGGTAAATTTTTATTTGCATACAAATTTAAATAAAATCCTGTTTTGTAAGTTTTAAGGTCTGTGTATTTCTCATTTTAGTCAATATTACTCCTTAAACATTGTTTTCTTTTATTAAGACACTAGTCTTTGTGTCTCAGGCATAGCTCCAAAATGAGAAAATTTGGGGTTATACTCGTATATTAATTATATAGCCCCAGGATTATTCCAGTTCCACTCAGCTTTATTAGTAATCATTTCTGTTAGGAGATTATTCAATGGAAGAATAAAAATTATATACAAACCAGAAGCCCAGGTAAGCATTACAGTTGTCTAATAGGTTAAAATGTAATTTCAATCTGCATAATGTTAAATCAACAGACATAAACTCCCATTCAATGAGGTTCAGTGCCAGCATTAACAGTTTTCCTATCAACATACAAATGTGTAGCAGATCAAACTTTTTCGTTTATTTCTTACCAGTTCTCATAAATTTTACATTGGACAAAAGTTGAAAAGTCATATTATAGCTCCGTATTTGCCCTGCAAATAAAAAACACTAGTAGATCAGCCTTATGTTCTTTTTAATTGTTTTGCAGTGAATGAAAAATATCAACAATATCTTTCTTGGTGTGTGATGCGTGCACTGGCCTACAGTGCCCACGGCATTATGGCTGGAAAATCAAGACAAATTCACACAGGCTACCAAGTCCTGTGGAGGAAAAGGGATGGCACTACTACTCCCTCAAAGGGGGAGCCCCTCAGACTGGCCTGGCCACTCTCTCAAGGGGAGAGCACCCTGACCCTTGCCTAGACAGCCTTTTATTATTTTTTTTTCCTGCAGGAGTTCAGGTACAACTTATTAATCATTGTCAGGCAGTAAACAGTAGATAGCATATAAAGAACTATTAGGGCTTCTTCTAAGTTAGGGTCTATCAGGTAAAAGACTGCAAAACTTTGGGAAAACAAACTCATTTTCTGCCTAGCCCTTTATCATTTAACTAAGAGCATTCTTAGCAAAGCAGGCTTCACAGGATTTTACATATCCTTTCTCAGGCCAATCTCCAGGAGCCTACCATTCCCAGCACAGGGCTGCACCACCCTCTGTCATTATTTTGGGCTTAACTCAGGCAGAGGAGGAAAATAGCTAAGAAATTTTCAGAGACTTCTCACGGACTCAGGGGAGTCAGGCTTCATCAAAGCTTAGGGGCAAGAGTCCACCCCCTTTCTTATAGCCCCCAAGTCCTTCCCTGGGGCCTCCATGTGATCGTGCCTGTCTTCGGTCAATCCTCCCTTGAGGAATTTTACCCATCATTGGCTAACCGACCAAGCACGGGAGCCCAATTACGGAAAAAGGAGCAGAAGCAGCACTCCTGCCAGGGAGATAAGCTATAGCTCCTGAAACCAGGCAGGGAAGTTCCCAACAGTATGTTTTGATTTTTGATATTTTTATGACTACTTGTATGGTAAAAGAATATATATATATATATATACATATATACATATATATATATATTCTTGACTAATATATACATATATATATAGTCAATTAGGCAAAAGTCAGCATACTTGAATGTTTTACTTTCTGTGAAGGCCTACATTCACATAATGTATATGTTGATGTTTCTAATTAATCCAGTTTGGAGGGGCAGGATAAGGGAATTAAATTATGTAATCATTTTATAAGAGGATTAATAAGCAAATAACCAACTCCCTTTTATTTTTCCAAATAAGTGGTTGTCAGGATTTTTTTTTTCTTGGAAGCTCCAAGTATCTGAGTTTTTATTGCTCAAATCTGTCCCAAGTATAGGTTCCATAAAGATTTGTAGAATGAATACTGGTACCTGTGTGCAGGCCAGCTGTACTGACTGAGGGCCCGGTGGGATTGGAGGCTGTGGTGTTGGTCATGGAACAGAAGTTCTCTGTGTATTACCTACTCCAGGGTGTCCTACATTGCTGATCTTCCAGCATCCCCTCCAGTTCTCTGTCTCATCTGTGCTATATGTAAATATGAAAAATTGTTTCCTTTATAGCTGATCAATATTTTCTTAAACTTGGTCCGTCCTAAGCAAGAATATCTGTGAAATGAGGTTACTATCTAAACTTGGTACTTTGTGTCCATGAAACTTATAGACTAGTCCACACATTCTACCTGATCTACTTTACATGCAAGATTTGAACAGATCTGCTAGTCTCCATGTCAGTCTCCTAGAAGCAGCATAACATTTAGAGAATGTGAAAGTCCTGACCCTCCCATTTAACAAGGTTCTCTTAGTGAGTTGATTAACCTATTGCGTTTATCTAGACTCTCTTGTAATGACAAAAACCCAACTCGAGCTTAAGAAAAAAAGGGGGAGAACTGTTTTGCTCTTATGGTTATAGAAACATGTTTCTGATTATAGTTAAGGCTGTATGCAGAGACTCAAAGCCATCAAAACTTGGAACTGCATCTCAAACCAGCTCTTCTGTGTTGGTTTCATTCTCAGACAGACCATTTCCACAAGGTGGCAGAATGGCTGCCATACCATTTTGTCAAGCTTAACATCTCTAAAAGTGGAGAGGAAGTGGAGGAAGAGGAGAAGCAAGAAAGAGAATAAAGAAAGAAACAGTGAGAGTGGGAGGGAGGAAAGAGAAAGTAAAGGAAGGAAGCTCTTTTCTCCTAGTAATTCTTAAGAAACATCCCAGAATTAAAATGTCCAATTTTGGGTCAGGAACCTCTCTGAACTGGTTCTTTTAGGGCTGTAATAAGTTCACAGGGCTCTCTTTGATGGGTCCAAAGTGGGTTAATTACCCACTTGTTGACCTGAGGATGAAACCAGCCTCATCCAAACTATCATCCAAACTATCAAAGCTGAGCTTAAGGCGGGGAGGGAGTAGTTCCCTAAAGAGAATTAGAAATCTAATAAAAAGAAACAATGCATTCTGTGATGGAAAAATAAGAGATGACAACCACACTCATCAACCATAAGGCAATGAGCTTGAACAAATTTTTCCATATGGACACCTCCAATTCTAAAATTTCGTGATTCTGTTTTATCATTTCCTCTCGAGTTCTCTGGAGTCTACTTGTACTATGCATACACATCATCAGGTGTTTTGTGTCGATGCTGCTTGACCCATTGGAATACTTGACCTTAATTTATTTGTCTTGAACAGTAGTGTCCACATACAGAATAATCGCATTGAAGCACTTAGCTCAATTCTGGTTTTCTATTTAAGTTGTAATTCAATTCATGAATTAGTAAAATAGCCAAGGAAAATTTAAATGACTAGATCCATGAATCATTTTAATTAGTTATTTTTATAATTTATATGCTATGCCCCTTTCTCTCAATTTGCTATTGGAGGGGGGAAATAGGTTATTCCAAAGAATTTTATTGGATTTTAAGGACTTAATAAAAATGAGAAGAAATATTATATTTTATGGATATTTATAAGTTAAACATTTAAAAGTCAGTGGCCATTTGAAGGATGCAATATATGTTCAAAAATTAAAATAAATTAAACATACAAAGTGGTGAAAAACTTTGTGGGAAAGAATGAGGAAGGATATGTTCTGATGTACCCTACATCTGAAGTTGGCACACTAAGGCCAGAGGGACTCTTATAGTAAATGGTTTTACTGGCAAAGAGTCATGCATGTTTCTTTACATATTGTCTATGGTTGCTTTCATGCTACAACAGTGGAGTTAAGTAGTTATGATAAAGACCTGTGGCCCTAAAATATTTATTTTTTGGTCCTTTACAGTAAAGGTTTGCCAAATACTTTCTATGATAAATTATAAAATTCGATATTCCCTCTCAAATGACTGTAACAGATTATTGTCTCCAAACAAGCAAAAAACAGATTTAAGCATTAAAGTGAAACAAAAGAATAAATAGGAAGTATGATCTTTAATCTTTTCATTTTAAACCGTGTAAGAACTTACTAGTCTACAAAAGACCATTTGCCAATGAGAACCACAGGAATTACCTGCAGATAGCTTGGCATGCTTTTTAGCATGCAGTTTTTGTTAACTACTTACAGGTGTGTTGGAATAGTATCAGATTGTGGCTATGAATATTGAATTCCCAAAGCACTGTTACCTCTTGAGTTGCCCTTAAAGTGGTCTTTGCTAGGGACTGCACTGTGCACAATTTAATCCTGGGGTCCTGGGAAGATGATAAAGCAAACAAAAAAGTGATTTTAGTGTACCTAGTCCCTATAACATTGCTGCAAAGGCATTTAACCATTGAGGAAGTAGTAATACAGTGAGATAAAGATGCTCTGCTAAAGTAACATAGTTTTAAAGTTTAGACTTCTGTACTTCCAGTTCTCGGGTAACTCATGTCTACTGTATCAGTGTGCAGTAGAATTTCCTGTGATGACGGCAATAGTATATCCAATATGTGGCCACTAGCCACATGTGACTATTGAGCATGGAGAACAGAATTTTAGTCTGTCTAATGTCAGTTACTTACTGGCTGCATGTTGCTGGTACTTATCATATCTGACAGCACAACTTTGTGGTTGAAATTGGGTGAGTCTCAGGCTGCATTCCTTTCTTCAGAGGAGCTCACATTGAGTCACTTCTTACTGTGAGCCAGGAACATCACCTACTTGCCTTCATTAATCCTATTAACAGCTCTGAATCTATACTTCCTGTTGTACAGATGAGAACACTATCTCAGGGAAGGTAAAAGTATGACCAAGAACACACAACTGGTATATGGCTGGACAGGATTGAAACTTATCTCCTAAATCCAAAGCCATTGCTCTTTGTCTTAAACCTGTAAGGACCCAAATTCAATATAGTTGTGCTGCTTTTAGTCAAGAGTAATGTAAAACAATGCTGGAGGCACACATTTACCAAGATGTGTTCTTGAACTGTATTATCTATTTAGTATACCCCATAACTTGGGAAGCAAAATTTTAAAGCTTAAAGCTCACTCTGTGCAGTTGGACTAATTGACTACAGTGGAAATGTGCCTTTCCAGCCTTGCACAATTCATGAGGTAGGGGCCATTTTCTAGGGACCAAATTCCAGGCACCTTCCTGATAATTCATTGCCTTCCCCAGTATACGGAACCACCCACAAG